ACTGATTTGTTCCTCTTCTTTTCTCAACAGTATTTTAATAAGCGAAAAACCTACTTTGCTCATGATGCCCTTCAGCAGTGCACTGTTGGGGATATTGTACTTCTCAAAGCTTTACCTGTTCCTCGAACAAAGCATGTGAAACATGAACTGGCTGAGATCGTCTTCAAAGTGGGCAGAGTCATAGATCCAATAACAGGAAAACCCTGTGCAGGAACTACCTACCTGGAGAGTCCAATCAGTTCAGAAACCACCCAGCTAACTAAAACTCTGGAAGAACTCAACATCTCTTCAACACAGTGAAGGGCTAGAAGAAGGAGGCAAAGGGAACGTTTTCTACATTTCATTACGAACTGTCCACTTTCTCTCATGGCATTCATGAAATAGTAAAGGGCTTGCTATAATTTTTCACGGAGGTTTGTGTCATGTTTCAGTTTCTTTTCAGTGAACATACTTTCACACCATACTAAATGTGCCTAGCAATCTGCATTAGTTTATAAGCTCACTATCTTAGAATGTATATTGTTTTACTTTATTTTATTTTCATTCAAAGGTATCTTGAATTTATGTTAGAATCTTTATTTTGGGAGAAGAAATCCTCTGATACAAACAGACAAGTCCACAGTCAGTGAATATTTTTGGTGGTATATATTCAAAATAGGTTTTGTTTTTTTTTTGTCTCATTTCACCAACTCCCAAGGGAAGTAACATGCTTGTGCTACAACTTTATCAGATTAGGCTGGATTAAGAATTTTGTTTTGGGGAGTACCGGGGATCAAACTTGGGACCTTGCGCTTGCAAGGCAGACACCGGAACCACTGAGCTAAATCCCCTGCCCAAGAATTTTAACATGTAAAAAATATGATTTAAAAATTCTTTGTCATTTATATCCTAGGCCAGATTAAATAGGCATGAGTTTTTTCAAATCAGACACAGTAAGTCATAGGACTTTCACACTTTTGAATTGGAGGCTCCTGAGTTGTTGCTGTTGATTAATAGTGTGATGACTTAGATTTTGGCCGGAGGAAACATTAGCTATATGTTGCAGTTTTCTGGCTCCTAAAGAGACATGGCGTGTGTTTGAACCTCAGCTAATGTGTATGTTGTAAACAGTTTCAGTGATGACTGCAGCCATGGGTCACTGGCTCCAAGGATAGGGAGCTATGCACGGGCGCCTTTCGTGACAAACAGGACCATGGGTTGGTAGCGGGATATTAGGGTCCCGGGAGAGATAAACCAGGGCTGTAACCAAATTGAAGTCTGGCCTAGTAAGTAAGGAATGTGGGAAGGGCATTTCAGACCAAAGAAAGAGGGTAAAGTCCTTGGGCTGAGAGAAAGAAGCATATCCAAGGGCACTAAAAGCAGTAGAGAATCGCTGAAATACAGGTGGAACTCAGAAATACGCAGGAGTTATGCTGTAAATTGATCTTGGATTCAAGTTTTCATAGAGTGACAATTAGATTTGCATTTCAATAAAAGTTAAAGAGCAGCTGTGTGGAATGGGCTGGACAGGAAAAGATTGGTCCTAAGACCTAACTGGTGCCAGGTGGGCTCAGACTGCTGCTTTTCTGCTTGGAATAGAACTCAGGTTGATGCCAGGCAGCATGAGTGAGGGAAGATTCTTAGGCGCTAGGTCTCTGCTTGGTGGGGCTGTGTAGTACTCCTTAGCTGGGACCCGTTCCCTAAGTGGTGCTCTCAGCAAATGTCATGTGTACACATGCCCTGGGACGGAGTCCAAGCCATCTCTGAAATATTTCAAAGTTCTGTGGGGTGCAGTGGCACATGCCTGTAATCCCAGCACCCAGGAGGTTGAGGCAGGAGGATAGTTCAAGGTCACCCTGGGCTACATAGCAAGACTGCCTCAAAAAAAAATTTTTTTTTAAGTTTACATATACTCTGTAGCATACCATTTTTTTTTTTTTTGTAGCATACCATTTTTATTTAAATAGAATTTTTTTCTGGGCTAGGTCTGTAGCTTCTTGCCTAGCAAATGAGAGGCTTAGCATTGAAAAAAAATCCTGTAAATCTTTTGGTGAAAATGTTTTAGGAAGTTGTTATTTTTTTGTGTGTTTTTTGGTTTTTGCTTTTGTTTTTGAGACAGGGTTTTGCTAAGGTCTCACTGGCCTTCAACTCACTATGTAGCCCAGTGAACTCACTATGTAGCCTCAAACATTGATCCTCCTCCCTCATTTTTTTTTTTTTCTGAGACGAGTCTCAGTATGTAGGTCATGCTGACCTTGAACTCACTATGTAGCTCAGGCTGGCCTCAAACTTGTAGTTATCCTCTTGCCTCAGCCTCCTGAGTGCTGGGATTTACATTTTCACAGCCATGACCAGTGGAAGTTACTGAGTTTATGTGAAATAAACCCCTCCCTCCTCCCCATAAAAAGCACCAAGTTAATGAAATTTCAGAGCAAAATGATAGTGGAGGGGGGAAAATGCAGAATAAATGGCCTAATATTAAACACAGAAGCAAGATCTGCAAAGAAATGTCTAGCTGCCATACTCAGGAGGCTGATGCAGGAGGATGACAAGTTCAAAGCTGGCCAATTTAGCAAGACATTGTCTCAAAAAAATAAAAAGGGCTGGGGATATAACTCAGTATAAGGCCCTGGGTTCAATTCAGAGTACTGGAAGACAAAGAAATGTCTAGCTACTGAGTTTACATTGTAGTAGAAAAGATTTGAAAGTATTTGTCTTGAAATAAAGTGGAGACATTGAGGAAATGTGTGCAAAAGAACGGGGGCTCACGGACACTTGAAAAGGCCCTGCCTCCTCCTCTGCAGGGCAGGGACAAGTTCTTTCTGTCCCAGTGAGACCTAACTTCTACTTCCTTTTTGGGTCCACACAACCTCAAAGTATTAAGGCTGTGCGAGTTGAAATAGGGAACTCCAGCTTGGTCACCGGACCTCTGGCTGCGTCCCACAGGCTCGAAGGGGCAAGGGCTCTCTTCAATCGGGAAATTTTTGTTGCCCTCCCACCTGCACCCTCTGGCCCCACCTGTCTTTCCTGATGGTTTCTTGCCATTTAACGTCTTCGGTGTCTGCCCGAGTCAGATAATTCCTGCAACTGTTACGGTTGGTTTATATCTAGATGTCCCCCCCTAAAGCCTCGTACGCTCATACTTGGGGATTTGAAGAGGTGACTGGATCATGGGAATGTATAATTATCAGTAATTGTCGTTGGCCATAGTTAAATATGATGTCGGGAAGTGGAGCCTGGGCGTGTCGGGGGCGTGGCCTGGAAGGGTCCAGCCCCGCCCCCTCCACCCTTCAGGGTCTCTGCTTCCGGCCGCCAAGGAGAGCAGTTCTGCAGGCGGTCCTGCCTGGGAGCTGAAACTTGAACCAAATAAGCCTGTCCTCCCTTAAGTTGTGGGTGTTGGGAGTAGTGACCCAGCGATGAGAAAGTGACAAGACAGGCCCTTCCGCCCTGAGGCTCCCTTGACTCCCAGTGACCAGCCTCAGAACTCCTTGTCCTGTCCCCACCCCTCCAACACAGGAGACCAGTGGCTTCCAGTGTGCGCAGCAGTTTTCCCTGGGCCTCCAGGCCTCCCGGAAGCGCTCCCCTTGGCGGCCGGGTCCTGCGCCTTCCCCCTGGTTTCTTTGACGTTTTCGTGGTTACATCCGTGGCTCCTTTACCTTCCTACCGAATAACGTTTTTCACAGTGTCATCCAGACCCATGACTGTTGAAGTTGTTTCTTCTGCCAGAAATTCACCTGTTTTCGGGGATCGACCCCGGTATCTCCTCTACTTCATTCAAAGGGGCTGCCACTCCACCACCCCCAGGCACGTGCTGTCCCTTTCAGCACTTGACACGCCCAATCTTATCATCCTTTCACATCCTGTACCCGAGGGCCTGGAATGAGGACAATGTAGTCCCTAGATAAGAGAGTTTGAGTAAAGCTTGCATTACAGGGCGACTTTCTCCGCGCCCCCCATTACTGATGATGGAACGCAGGACCTTCGCACTAAGCTATACGCCCCGAGTACTTATTTTTGAGTCACAGTTTTGCTAAGTGCCTGGATTGGACTGGAACTTGTAATCCTCCTGCCTCAGCTTGCCGAGTGCTAGGATCACAGGTGTGCACCACCATGCCCAGCTGAAGGGTTATGTTTTTGAAACGGTAATATAGTGGTGCCTCTGTACCACTATACAGAAAACTGTTCGCAAACCAAAGCGTTTGGGAAAATATTGTTTTTGTTTTGCACTCTACATTGGGTGACAAAGACAACCGCGGCCATCGTTTCTGCACAATGTGGTCATCTTTTCCAAAACCGTGGAACAGTTTGAGTTCGTGAACCGAAGTGCCACTGTAGAGCATTACCTAGGCACTTGTTAACTGGTTCTGGGAGGCGACGAGCACCAAACACGTGTTGGAAAGGGTGGCGAATGATACTGACAGGTTTTAGCGTGTGCATCGAATACCCAACAAAGCATGAGTACCAGGACAAAATTTTAGTGTCACAAATGCATCAAAGCCGGACGTGGTGGACCACGCCTGTGATCCCAGCACTCGGGAGGCTGAGGCAGGATGTCATGAGTTCAACGCCCGCTTAAGGTACACAGTGAATTCAAGGTCGGCCTGAACAACCTGTCTCAAAAAATAAAAAAGAATCAAGAACTAGACTCAAGGAGTTTCAAAAGCAGTGAGTACCAAGGTATGACTACTGTATATCCACGTAATACAAAGTACAAAATCCAAGCTAAACATCGCCCCCTCCCCGTCCATGGGCCAAGATTCCCCTGGCCACGGTGCTCCGCCTTTCGTGTAGATTTGCCCTGCACGCGGAAGCAGTGCCTCGTTCCCTCCGCACGCCGGATCTGGGCTGAGCCCCAGCTGTTCCAGCCGGCCGGTTGAGCTCAGGCCGCCCGCCCCCGGCCCCCGCCCCGGCCCCCGCCCCGGCCCCCTCCCCGGCCCCGCCCCGGCCCCGGCCCCGCCTCCCGAGACTGTCCGGCCCCGCCCCCAGCCCGGCCGGGGGAGGGGTCGCAGCGTCACCGCTGCGCCAGGGCGAGGGGGCGGGGAGGCCAGGGCTCCGGAGCAAGATGGCGACGCGAGTGCTGCGCGCCCAAGGAGCGGCCGCGGCCCGAGGCCTCCTGCGGACGGCCGCCCCCTGCAGCCTGCTGCCCGGGCTCCGGTGAGCAGCGCCGCCCTTTCCGGGGCGGCCGGGAAGGGGCTGCGGCGGGGCGCGGGTACCGGGCCGGGCTCCGCCGCGCGCCCACCGCGCTCGGGGCGGCGGGGTCGCGGCGGGCGGGAGCCTGGCGGGTCGGTGTCCCCGGCACCGGCGTCAAGGTCACGGCGCCGCCTCACAGGCACGCGCCCAGGCCGCTGGCGACGGACTCGTGCCCGCTCCTGTCGGGGTTCTGTGAAGAGGACACAAAGTAGCGCGCCGTTCCCGGGGCGCCTCCTCCGAGGGAGACAGGGCCTGTGAGCACGACCCGTCTCCACTCGGACAGTAAAGCAGACGGCAGATCTTAAAGCGTTGAGCTCGGCGCTCAGCCGACTTGGGGCTCGCGTTTAAACTTCCCCGCAGCTCTTTGAAGTAGAGGTTCAGCTGTGTGGATTCATCACGTTGACATTCCCACGTTCAGTAACCAGAGCCCATCCTCATTGACCCTTAGGGCTATTTTCTTTTTTTTCCTTTGGGCAGTGTAAGTCATGCCTATTTTGGTGGTGGTGGTGAATTAATGAGCCTCTAAAAATACACAGTAGTTGACACGTGAAGAGCAAAATAATTTAAATTCTCTTGTGGAGGGCATCTGAGGATCGAATCCAGTAATAAACTCTTACTATGGGCCAGAGAATTTAATATAATATGGTGTATCGTATTTAATCGTACGTGGGTTTTGTTTTTGCTTTATTTCGTTGGCAGTGCTGAGGATTGAGCCCAGGGCCTGGGCATGACATAGACTCCAGCCTCTTTTTTATTTATTGTGAGATAGGGTCTCCCTAAGTTGCTAAATTGCCCGGACTGCTGGTGATTTGTGAGAACCTGCCATGCTCCTGCCTCAGCCGCCTAAAATGCTGGGATAACAGGTGCGGCCACCATGCCCAACTGTAGAAGTAAGTAGGATGTGTATGTAGAGATGAGGAGATGGAATACCCAATACCCTTACTTCCTGCTAGAGCCAAATATCGTTGATACTGAGCAGCTCCTTATCTCTGTGTGACCCATTTGTTCTTCGATGATGCCTCTGTCAGGTCCCCTTGTGCTTTTTGATTATTTCTTCCTGGCCTCCCATCAGCCTTAATATAGGTATTCTCTAGGACTCAACTAGACTCAGTGAATTCACCAGTGCTACCCAATATTGAATGTGTAATATGTACTTGAAGCCCTGTGGAATCAGGCTCTAAGAGCCATGGCCATTATCTCCAGGAAGTTGTGACAGATAAAACGCACGTGAACTTACAGTTCAGGTACATGGTAACCCTCCTTTAGCTCATGTAAGACCTCTGAAGGTGACATTAAGATGAGACCTGAAGGGTATATGAGAACACCTTGAGTGGGGGGGGAGTCAGACACATGGATAAACCCAGGAGAAGTTTAAGAGCCTGAAATACAAGCGGGAAAGGAAGGCTTCTAAAGGAGAAGGGGTAAAAAACATGAGCCAGGTAATTCCAACCTTCCAGATGGTCATGGAGCTTGGACTTTTTATTCTGAGAACAATGGAAGATATGTAAAAGCATAATCTCTGGTGGATGTGATGTGATCTGTGTTTGTTTTTTTTTTTGCTTTGGTACTGGGGATCGAACTTGGGACCTTGGGCTTGCGAGGCAGGCGGTGAACCACTGAGCTAAATCCCCGGAAGAGAATCATGGGTAATGGCCACGTGAGTGGATGTTGGTGCCACAGAGTCTTTTGTCCCATAAATATATCAGCATCCACCATATGGCAGCCACTGTTGGCTGTGGGGAAACAGCAGTGAATGTAATGTCTTAGTCACACTCCTTGTCCTGAGACACAGTACCTGGCACCACAACTTAAAGGAGGAGAGGTTTATTTTGGCTCAGTGACAGTAGTCTCCGTCCTTGCATGATTGGCTGGCTCCCGGTAGAAGTGGCTCGAGGAAGAGCCTGGGCAGAGGACAGCTGTCTTCGTCATGGTGGCCAGGAAGCAGAAGGGAAGAGCTGGGGAGGGGGATGCACCATCTCGGGTCACACTCCAGTGACTGCCTCCTGACAGTGAGTCAGCTGCAGCCTCACTCCCATAACTCACCTCCCAGAAGTCCCACCTGTGAGTGCATGAGGCCTTTGGGGACATTCTTGACCCAAACCGTAACAGTAAATAAGGTACACAGGGCTATCTGGAAGCTTGCTAATAACAGTAATTTGCAGAGAAGAAGGGGAGGGACCCCAGGCAGTTTGGAACCTTATAAAGTTTGAAATGGCTGCAGAATGTTTATTTGGAAGAACAAAATAGGCAGTTGGCTGTGACTCCCCAAAGGCGGTATCTGGGTTGCGGGCAGCATGTGGGAGATGTCAGCATATAGATAGAGTTGCCCATACGTAATGAGAGGTACACAGGTTTCATTACATGGGCTTTTATTACATCTTTTTTTTTTTTTTTTTGTACCGGGGATTGAACTCGGGTCCTTGTGCTTGTGCGGCAGGCAGCAAAACCACTGAGCTAAATCCCCGGCCCATGGGCTTTTAAAACAGTAGGAGTGGATGAGATCACTTGTGGAGAGAATGTGGATCGGGAAGAGGCTGAGAAACGAGCCCTGAGATGGGCCAACATTGACAGGGTGGACCGAAGAGGGGAGCCCGCAAAGCCACTGTGAAGTGACAGCTGCCGGCGGGGGTATTTCTAGGAGAGGATCAGCTGTGCCAGTACTGCTTGAAGGTTAAGTAAGATGACAGAAGAACACTGGGTCTCCAACAGTGGTGTGGAGGACCTGACAAACTGCTCATCATCTTTCAAGTCTTCAGCTCACCGAATTCTTCTTCTCAGTTGTTGGGTTTCTCCTGCAGGCTTAGACTCTACTGCCTCCACCACAGCCACCACCTTGTGTCTCATAGGAGCTGGGATCACATTTGTCTCTGCTCCCACCAGCAAACTCAGCTCTTGGAAGGCAGGGTTGGGTTTATTCGCCTTTGTGTCCTCACCCTGGCCCAGTGCCTGGCACTTGCCATGCATAGTCAGAACATATTTGAGAATCAGAGGAATGCAGCCCGCTCTGCTACCTCAGCCCTATCTTGATGTATTTTCCTTGTATTTGCTCTGCCTAAACCCTAGCACCATATGTTTTGAGTGTATTCTTCCCCTTCTTCCCTGCTGCCATCCTCTCGCCTGGACCCTCCGTTGACCCATCAGTGAGTGTTTATTGAATGTCCGTTTTGTACCTGGTGCTGGGCAATGCGACAGTAGGGATCCCAGAAACCACTCCCTGCCTGTATTGCTGCTGGCGTCTGCCACACCATTGCTGGGCTGCTTTCTATACTTTTTTGAAAACTTGCTAGTATCACACCTTGTTCAGGATGAAGACCAGCGATATGCATGGTGTGCAGGACCCTGGCCACCCTGCCCACTTCTCCTCCCCTCACGGCTCATACATCCAACTTCTCCCTGCTCTCCTGCCTGCAGAACCCTTTGTAGTCCAGAAGTAAGCTGCTCTGGTGTCTTTCGTTGTGCTGTTGTGGCTACCTCGTGTCATGAATCGATTCAGAATGTTTCCCTTTCATGGTCATTTTCCCCTGGGGAAAGAGCTAGAGGTCACATGGTGCCAGCTCTGGTGAATAAGATGAACAAGGACACAGTGTCATGTTTTTACGAGCTGCCTTTCTGTTTGGATGACGCATGGCAGCCGCATTCACCACACTTTATAAAGACACGAAAAACTTCCATAACTGCTTCCAAAAGTGGGATGAATGTGTTCAAACAAGGAGGGATATTTTTTTGTTTTGTTTTTTTGGTACTGGGGATCGAACTCAGGACTTTGCGCTTGCAAGGCAGGCGCCGGAACCACTGAGCTAAATCCCCGGCCCTTGTTAATACATTTTTAATTTAAACGTTCACCACATAGTTTGATCACCCCGTGTACATGTGCCCTTGACTGGACTTGTCACCTGCCTTACTTGCCCTCCAGGACAGCGTGGCAAGGTCTCCACTTGCACGCCAGTGGTCCATTTGTTCCCTTGGTCTCCTGGACAGTGTGTTTCTGCTTCTGCAGTACCTGTGATCTTCCTGGTGTGTACTGAGGGGTTTTCCCCATGAGACTGAACCATCTCTGCACCCGATCTATTTTAATGCTCACAGAGCCTGCACATGATGCGCACTCTGTTGAAAGTCCACTGTGTTGTGGGATGTGCTCTCTCCCTGCTCTGATGTGCCACCCAGCATATGTGCGATGTTATGAAGACTCCTGCCTGACCTTGGTGACTCTCACTGTCAGTGAAGGACTCAGGCCTTGCCGCGTCTTATCACTGGCAGCTGTTGCCATAGCTGCTTCCACCTCCTTCCATGGTTCGGGTTGGACAGCTAGATGCATCTGGCTCTTTGAGCAGCGTTAATTGCCTTGACACCTGATGCTCAAAAGATTGTGGTTTGACAGGCAGTTGGGGGTGACAGAATTCTCACCTTCTTTTACATATGCCATGTAAGACTGTGTTTTTTTGGTTTTTTGGTACTGGGGACCAACTCAGGACCTTGCGCTTGCAAGTCAGGCACCAGAACCACTGTGCTAAATCACCAGCCCCAAGATTGTCTTTTTGCCCTGTCCACTTTATAAGAAAATTTGCATTGGTATTGTACTGATACTAACTTATTATTTCACTTATTTAGTGTGAGTTTTCTGCTTTTTAATCTTTGAAGGATTCAAAATGTTTTGTTTCTTGATCACTATAAGAAACATTACTAATTTTATATTGGCATTTTTGTTTGTATATTTGTGAGTTCACATCACTCAGAAAACTTTTTTATCTGTGTTTCTAGCTATTTGAGATAATATCCTATGAACTGTTTTTGATCTGTTTGTTTTTATGGTACTTGAAGTTGAACCCAGGGCCTTACACATGCTAAGCAGATGCTCTGTTCTCAATTATATCCCTACGCCTTTTTCAATTTTTTGTCTTGAGACAGGGTCTCCCTAAGTAAGCACAGTTGGCCTCAAACTATGATCCCTGTCTCAGCCTCCTGAATAGCTGGGAATACAAGTGTGTAACACCACACCTGGCTCTCTATGATATTTTGTTTGTTTGTTTGATTAAAAGAACAAGGGGCCAGGGATGTAGCTCAGCAGCACAGTGCCTGCTTGGCAAGCTCGAGGTCCTGAGTTGGATCCCGGTACCAAATAAATAAATAAATGAAAGAACATCTTATAAGGGGGCCAGGGATGAGCTCAGTGGCACCATGCCTGCCTGGCAAGCTCAGAGTCCTCAGTTTGATTCCCCAGTACTGGAAAAAAAAAGAACATCTTACAAGGAAGAAATTATGTTTGTTCAGTAAAGCAGCTAGTTACTATTTTAAGCGCACACACACACACACACACATACACACACACACACAAAAGATGTCAATAGTGAAATTTAGAGTACTGTTATTTCCAGAATACCACAGTTGAGTAAGAATAGGGATTTTTTTTTTTTTTTTTTTGTACCAGGGATCGAACTCTGGTTCTTGCACTTGCGAGGCAGGCAGTGGAACCACTGAGCTAAATCCCCAGCCCAGGGATTTATATTTTCTAGTGTGGAATCTTAAGGTTTATCTCACGAAGCAGTGGGAATTTTCCCTAAGGAGTGTTTCTCGTCCCAGTTAAATTTCTTGTCCTCCTCCAGAGTTCTGAGATTACTGTCTCTCTTCTGCCTACGTCTGTCTGGTAATGGTGGTGTCCTTAAGCAAGTGTGCTGCACAGATTATAGTGAGTCTTTTGAAAATCATCCAGTGTTTCTGTAGTGATCCCGGGAATGAGTTTACACTGGCCTGTCAGCATTCCAGCTTTGTTTTTGAAGCACTGGCTGAGTGTGTGTCTTGGCCATTTGGAATCCCAACACATTACTATCTAGGAAAGAACAGAAAAGATTTTTTTGTGTAGGTCAGTCAAAGATCAGAACTCTAAAAAGTATGCTGTGATAACTCCAGCTAAAGGTGATGGTCAGGAATTATAAGGGGTTGGCCAGAGAGAAGGGGCATGAATTCAGAAGGCTGCATTCTGTGTGGTAGGACATTCTGGAAGGGCAGCACTGTAGACAGACAGAACAGCAGCGGTCACCATGGTTGGGGAGAGGACTGATTGCAAAAAGAGGGATTTTTCAAATTGAAGAAACTATATCTTATAGTGATAATTATGTGATTTTATGCATTTGTCAAAACTTGTAGGACTGTTTGCAAAAGAAGTGTGGTTTACTGTGTGTAAGTTTAAACAAAAATGAAGACAGAGGAGGCAGTTTATTATTTCATCATGGTTATGTAAAGTTAGAAGCAGGAAGTCTTGACCAGGCTTGAATTTCTGAAGTATTGTTTTCAGTGGTTATAGAGTTACCTTACACATAGAAGGATTTCAAAACATGTACTCTTTAGATATTTTAGCAAATTTTTAATTGCAAAAATAATATTGAATTTTTTCACATAATGCATTAAAAAGAAAAAATCTTGGGGGCTGGGATTTAGCTCAGTGGTGCATGCGCCTGCCTCGCAAGTACAAAGTCCTGAGTTCAATCCCAGGTACTGGAAAAAAATCTTTACTCCTCCAAGCCCAATCACAGTCCCCAGATCTAATCACCACTTACAGTTAGTTTGCTTTGTGTGTGAATATGTGACGCTGTCCTGTGCCTGCTCTTCCCACATAACTTATCTCAGAGATAGCAGCACATCAGTAGGTGCAGAGCTGTCTTTTTCTTTTCAATGACTGCATATTTTCCACTCTGGGTATTCCCTAATTTATTTAGCCAATCTGTATTAATGGATATCCAGATTGCCTTTATTGGGAAAAACTGGAAACAGGACAATAAAGAATGGTTTTGTGCATTCAACTCTGTGCACTTAATCTAAATATAGCTGCCTGCAGGATATAACCACAGTGTAGTTACTGGACCAAATGTCAGTTTCAATTTTGATATAAATAATGTCACACTGCCCTCCAGATTGTACAGGTTTGTGTTCTCACTAGCAACCATATGTATAAGAATTAAACATGCATTTTAAAGTCCATGGTTAGGGCTGAGGATTTAGCTCAGTAGTTCCGCCGCCTGCCTCACAAGCGGAAGGTCCCAAGTTCGATCCCTGGTACCAAAAAAAAACTAGTTACAGTCACAGTGTTGCACAACCGTTATCACTGTTTCCAAATCAAATATTTTTTTAAATGATGAGAATATGTGCTTTGGTGGATACCTATGATCCCAGCATTTGGGAGGCTGAGATAGGAGGATCTCAGCAAGTTGGAGGCCAGCCTGGGCTACATAATGAGTTCAAAGCCAGTCAGAACTACATAGCAAGACCCTGTCTCAAAAAAAAGTATGTAACACAAATTTTATGCTTTTAATCATTTTTTAAGTATACAGTTCAGTGACATTAAGTGTATGCATATTGTTGCACAGCCTTTACCATCATTCATGCTCCATAGTTTTTCATCTTCTTAAACTACCCACTAACCAGTAACTGCCCGTTCTCTGCTTTCTTCAGCCCTCTACAACCAGCATCCTACTTTCTGTCTCAGAAGTTTGTATAGTCAATGTAGGTTTTTTTCTATGCTTGGACACAGAAATGTCCAAATTGGTGCAAATTGCTGAGATAAATGTGGGGCCTCTCAGGAGCACCACAGGTTGCTGTGCGCTTTTCTCAGCCCGGCTGACTAACGGGCAAGTTGCCTCATCAGAAAGCTGACATTCAGTGGTGCCCCGCACTCACTGGAGCAGTGCACTGTGGCTCGACCTGAAGACACTGCACTCCTGAGTAGACTCACATTAGTGTATTTGCTTTTCTGTAGGAAACTGACATCTTCCAGCAACAGACCTCGAGAAGACAGCTGGTTAAAATCCTTATTTGTCAGGAAAGTTGATCCAAGAAAAGATGCTCACTCCAATCTCCTAGCCAAAAAGGAAACGAGCAGTCTGTACAAGTTACAGTGTGAGTAACAAGTTTGCTACCTTCCTGGTTGACTTTTGTTTGTTTGTTCATGAGTTTATTGTCGAATTTCTTTTGTTTCAGTTCACAATGTTAAACCGGAATGCCTAGAAGAATACAACAAAATTTGGTGTGTATGCCAAGCTGTCTTTTCCTTGGGGAATCGATGACTTAAAAATTTGTATTCAGGGCCCGGGGATTTAGCTCAGTGGTTCTGGCGCCTGCCTCGCAAGCGCAAGGTCCCAAGTTCAATCCCTGGTACCAAAAAAAAAAAAAAAAATTTGTATTCACGTCTCGCTTGTTAGGCAGGGCTTACATACTTTTTCTCCTCCAAGCTGGATGTGGAGAGGCTTTCAAACTGAGCTTCTGTGTGGAACTGCCAGTGGCGTTCTTATTTTAAGCACTCTCTCGCACAGCTGAATCACCACCCATCTATCAAACCTTGGAATGTTTCTCAGCTCTCCAGGTTGGAAGGAACTGTGAAACAGTCTAGCCCATCTGCTCACCAGTGCTGGAGTCTTCTCTGCAGACCCTCCTATCTGCCTGTCCTTACATAAATTCCATCTCTGAACAGCTTGGAGTATCAGGAATTAGAATTCATATTCCTGTGACCTCCTTTGTTCCCAGTTTTCCTCCTAAGTAAAACCCAAAAGTCTGGTATGTATTTGAGTGTAGCTGTCTTTTCTTCCTAAGTCTTCCCTTCTCCAGAATCCAAGTCACTTGAGCCAATTATCACATGATATGAGATACCCTCTGGTAAAATTCATAAATTTAAGATTAAAGAGAGAATGAGCAGGGGATGTAGCTCAGCGGTGCCACGCCTGCCTGGCAAACTCAGGGTCCCAAGTTTGATCCCTGGTACTGAAAAAAAGAAAGACTAAAGAGAGAATTTAACTCATCAGTTGTTTTTTTTTCTGATACTGGGGATTGAACTCAGGACCTTGCGCTTGCAAGTAAGGCGCGACGCCACTGAGTTACATCCCCAGCCCCATCATCAGTTCTTAATTGCGTTAGCAAAATAGTATTTTAATGATCAGTTGTGAGCAAACATAATGAAAATTATTTTTTAATCTTTACTGTCTATTTTCATGAGAAAGTAAATGATCCTGTCTATAGAATCAGCCAAATTTCAGAAGCTAAAACCTATTGTGGTTTTATTGCTTTATTGTTAGAGAGGTTTTTGTCAAATTTAACATTTGACTAGAATTTCTTACTCATCTCGACACATTTTACTTTATTTAAAAATGACTTCAGGGCCAGGGATTTAGCTCAGTGATTCTGCCACCTGCTTCGAAAGCAGAAGGTCCGGAGTTCGATCCCCGACACACACACCAAAAAAAAAACCCTCCAAAAAAAATGACTTAAAACTGGGCCGGGGATTTAGCTCAGTGGTTCTGGCACCTGCCTCGAAAGTGCAAGGACCTGAGTTTGATCCCCAGTACCAAAAAAAAAAAAAAAAAGAGAGACTTAAAACAAAGTAGATATTTATTTCTTAATCTTTTCTCAGGAAATGAAAGTTTTCTCTATGCTAATGGTTCTTTGGATTCTTTTTCTTGTCTTGTTTTTATCACTTCTTCTCCCATCTTAGATTTCTGAGTATCTATTCATATTTGTATTTAGATGTCCTGATCTCACTCTAAACTCAGTGCAGAATCACCTTGCTGTTTGAACTTCCTGGTCTGTAGGTTTTATTTAATCCTTTCCTCACTTCTCCATGATTAGCTGGTCACTAAGGGTCAGACATTCTTCATTGTGCAGTATTTGGATTCTCTGCTTGTTTCCCTCTGTCTCCCTCTCCAAGCCTGTCTAGCCCCATTCCCAGCCTCACCTCCTTTCTGACTTCCTTTCTTTGAGCTTGTCCCTGTATCCCCACCCTACCCTGGGCCCCATTACCCAAAAGTGTATCGGGTTGACTGTTGCGTTCTGTTTCCTCCCTCGTCAGGTTTCCTCTTTTCTCTGAAACTTTCAGCAGGTCTGTTTCCAGAACATAAAGACTGAACTCCTCTTGGTTTTTAGGGACCCCTATAATGAGATTCTGCCCAGCCCATCAAGTTCTGGGTACAAGTTCTGCCTGCCTTACAACCTCTTCTCAGGTAAGGCCAGGGCTGGAAGGAGCAGGTTTGGGGCCCCCAGCAAGGAGGATTGGCTGGGATTGACTCCAACTCCAACACATGACTTTGGCCTTGGTGAAAAACCGAGGCCCCACTATCAGGCTCCCAGTGCCTTTGTGGACCCCACCTAGGCCATGTGTACTGATGTCTCCTGCATTTGCTCTAATTCAGAGCTGTTTACTTCCTGCTCTTATCATGTGGCCAAAAAGAAACCCATTTTCATCCCCCACCCCTGATATTCATCATTCCCCATTATTTCTGAACACTCTTGGGTTATGCATGGGGGATACATTTAATATCAGATCTTAATTTTAAAATTAAACACCACCCTTCAGAAAAGGATGTGGTTATTAAAAAGCATGAGTTTTCGGTTAGACCCAGGGTCCTTTAACTCTTTGTATGTACCTGGTCCCCGAACCCGAGCGTCTGGTGGTGGTCACCAACCTGATCTGATGCGTTGCCTGCAAATAATTTGAACAGAGGCTCCATTTCTCACCTTTGAAACTTTTTTGAATCCATTGTAAAATGGATACTGTATCTTCATCGTAATTTTTCTTTTGAAAACTTGTGCAGGTCTGAGGTTTCCTCCTGATAGAAAGCAGTCATGTCCCTTCTCTGTCCCTGAACATTAGAATCTAGACCATAGTAGGTGCCCTCAGAACTAAGCTCCAATGATGCCTTCTGTTACACTGATGCCCTGAGTGACGGGGCTGTCCCCCTGCCCCCATACAGCCAGCAGTAATCACGTGCCGTGTGTTCACGGGAGTCTGTGTGGATCTCGGGAATCCCTCAGCCAGCTGAACCTTGTAGAACCGAATTCGCCCTTCATGTGGGTCTTTACTGATTTCCTCCACGTACCCCGAGTCCCATGGACACTCTTGGGACTCCTGGCCCTGTCTTCTCCCTCCTTAAGGCCTCCTTCTCTGTTCCTGTTACCTCAGCCTGCTGCTGCCCCTTCTGTTGGCTGCCTCTCTTCAACATTCTTTTCTTCCCCTTATTATTTCACCCATGTTCTTTTCTACTATTCCTGTGTATTCCTTTTTATCTTCAGAATCAGCAAAATTTAGCTTTTATAAACATCATAGTCCTACATAACTATCTTTCCTTTGATAAAGTTTTTAAGAGATTCTTTCCTGGGCCGGGGATTTAGCTCAGTGGTTTTGCCGCCTGCTATGCAGGTGCAAGGACCCGAGTTCAATCCCCAGTACCAAAAAAAAAAAAAGTTTCTTTCCCCCTGAAATGGAAATCATAGCTCCACAGCTCCTGCAATCTTGGGACCTTTGGCTCTTTTCTCATCATTTGTATCACTTTACCTGAGTTGCTTACAACTCTTCTAGATAGTCAGGGTTGGAGCCGGAGTTGCTAATAAATGGGGTGCTAGATTACAACAGAATTCAGCCCCAAGATAAGTTCCACACATCGTTTTATCGTAAATGTGTTCTGAAGTGAGTTGCCAGAACTGTTCTTATTCCTGGTACTACTGCTTTATGTTGTCCACTGGTCAGTTCCTTTGGTTTAATTAGTGTTTCTGTTTCTTCTTTTTAAGTCAAGAGATGTTACCAAAGGTTCATGAAGATAAACATTATCCTTGCACTTTGGTGGGAACTTGGAACACGTGGTATGGCGAGCAGGATCAAGCTGGTAGGAAGCAGAAGTCGTTGGAATAAATGGTTCTTCCTTAAGCCTTTTTATAATCACTTAAATGATTTTCTAATTAATGCTTGTTTTTATAATCAAAGCTGTCCATATCTCAGCTGTTTTATGGTTAAAGTAGTTTCTTCAATAATTCACTTTACTTTTTAATTGTTTTCTAGGTTTGGATCTGTTATTTGAACTTTATGGTGTAGGCCAATACATGGCACATTGTACTGTTAGCATCATGTATGTAAGATAAGAATATCCCGAATCTCTGAATGTACACTGTCTCTCACTGCATTTCAGTCCACCTCTGGAGGTATGAAGGAGGCTACCCCGCCCTCATGGAGGTCATGAGTAAACTAAAAGGAAATGAGGTAAAGATTCTGAAAAACTCTGTGCAGCACTTAACGTAATCTATTGATGCAGGAGAGATTGGTCCAGGGTTAGATGACTTTCTTGGCATCAGTTCCTATTAGTAAACTCTTCGTTTTTTTTTTTTTTGGCACTGGGAATCGAACTCAGGACCTCAGTACCTTGCACTTGGGAAGCAGGTGCGGCGCCACTGAGCTAAATCGCTGGCCCATCTTCATTTTTGTCCTAGAAATATTATCATTTGTTGTGTTCAAACATAAATTAACCATTGTAATACTATTCAAATAGCAGTTCTTGCTGTAGAAGTCAAGTTTACTTTGAACTGGCAGGATAGACAGAGCCTGGATTACCTAACACTGTACTTGTCCACTTGAGGAACTGCTGGGCTCATACCTGGTCTTTGTCTTGGACCAACTTTGCTGTTCTACCCCGCCTTTTAGTGATAGGCACATGTTGGTAGAGTTTTGATTTCTTGCTGTACTGGCCGTTGAACTCAGCTCTTTCACACTGAGCTGTCTCCCCAGCACCACCTCCTTTTATTTATATGTTTATTTTATTTTCTTTTATTTTTTTGGTACCGGGATCAAACTCGGGACCATGTGCTTGCAAGGCAGTTGGCAGAACCACTGAGCTAAATCCCCGGCCCTATTTGTTTATTTTTTGAGACAAAGTCATGCTAAATTGCCCAAGCCAGGCTTGAACTTGCCATCCCCTTGCCCTCCCAGAGTGCTGGCACTAAGGTGTGTGTGGCCATCCCCAGCTAGAAGAGGGAATTGTAACAGCCAGACAACATTACAAAAGGAAGCCTTTTATGTAGGTTCCCAGAACAATATGAATACCTTTTGAGTTATCTGCCATTTCGTAGTCATCATGTTACCTCTATATGCTAGGGAAATCCAAAAATAGAGAAAATAATTTTGGTTACCTTATCGTTTAAATACTTAGGATAACCATGGAATTTGTCATCTAAACCTGGACAGGAGCTGGGCATGGTGGCATGTGCCTATAATCCTAGCACTCAGAAGGCTGAGGCAGGAGGATCACTGCAAGTTTGAGGCCAGCCTGAATTACAGAGTGAGACTCTGTCTCAAAAAAAAAAACCACAATAAACAAACGTGGACAGTAGAGAGTGAAAAGGAAGCTATGTCACTATGCTGCTTCAACAGATACAAACTGGGATTATCATAGGCCAACTGGGTTGTTGCTAAAGTACATTTTTGTACGTAAGTACTGGAAGATTTCCTAAGTGTATTTTTTTCACGTACAGGAATTTGCGAATTTCCGTAAGGCAAGAAGCAACATGCTTCTCTCTCGGAAGAACCAGCTGCTCCTAGAGTTCAGTTTCTGGAATGAACCTGTCCCCCGGTCAGGACCTAACATCTATGAACTCAGGTCTTACCACCTCCGAGTAAGTACTGAGTTCGAGTGAGCTGTCCCCTGTTCTGTGACAAAGCACAGGCACTGCCTCACGCCGAGGCCAGAACTCGAGTGCAGTAGGCTTTGGGCACTCAGCATTATACTCAGATTGGACTTATTTTCTCCCTGTTCACTTCTTCCCTCGATTCCTTTTTCCTTATTCCTTTTCCTTGCTAAGCTCTTTTGTCTTTGTGATCTTACATATATTTATTCTTTGGGTTTTTTCTAAGTAACATTTTATTCTTTAGGACAAAAGACCTCAAGTGTTAGGAGTAGGCACAGTTTATAGTTGAATCAGAGCAACTCGTAAATATTGTGACAGTTGAACAACAGCATCATTAAAATACACGCTCAGTAGACTGTGGTCGTTACCTCTGTAATGACGAAAGATGAAGTGATGTCCTTTGGTGCCTCTGAAGGATAAACCTAAATGTGGTTTGGGGTTTGGGGGGTGTGGGGAGGGTTGAACCTAGGGCCTTTGCATTGAGCTACATCCTCAGCCCTTTTATTTCCTTTGAGACAGGGTCTCACTGAGTCACTAAATTGCCCATACTGGGCTCAAACTTGCAATCCTCCTGCCTCAGGCTCCCAGAGTCTTGGGATTACAGGCACGAGTGACCACACCTGGCCCACTGTGGCTTTGATACCCATAAATGGATTACAAACTCTTACCCTTAGTTATATGTTGTCTTCTTATATGAAGCCATAAAGTGTTACTCCCATTAGGAGATAGGAAGACGGCATGTAATCATCTTTTTATTTCTGTTTCTATATTTTACCACAGACAGACTAACAAATCAAAATCTAAATCTCTTTTCAGCCAGGAACCATGATTGAGTGGGGCAATTACTGGTGAGTAGATTATCGATGTTGAATTTGTAAGTCTTAATAGATTATTTTAAGGCACAGTGTTAATTCTAAAAATGTCTGTGAATGAGGCCATGAGCTGTGTCACCTGTGTTGGGGTCAGGCTCCTGGGCCCAGATGTGACACTTCTGCCTCCCGGGTAGCAGGGACTAAGGCATGCACCCCGTGCCCAGCCTAGACTGTTGCCTTGCTTAATGTTTTTATTATGAAAATTTTCCAACATGGGCAAAACTAAAGAGAATGTTACTGTGGGTTCTCCTGCCTCTACCTGTTCCTAAGCTTCATTCATTATCCACACATGGCGGCCTTATGTAGATCTCACTCCTCCAATCCAGACTATCTGGAGCACCCAGACGACACACTGTTTCATTCATAAATATATATTTATATATATCTAAAAAATAAAGACTTTTTCTTAATATACCAACACTGTATGAGATTATTCCTTACATTTGTGGGATATTATCTTTCTAAAGAAGGACAAATACAGGGCCGGGGATTTAGCTCAGTGGCACTCTGCCTGCCTTGCAAGGTCCTCAGTTTGATCCTTGGTACTAAAAAAATAAAAAATAAAGTAAGATAAATATAGACTGCAAGAGAAGTGTTATCAAGGATGCAGAGAAATCGGAACCCTTTTCACTGGGTTTGGGAATGTGAAGTGTTACAGCCATTATGAAAAACAATATGGAGACTCCTCAGAAGAATTAAAAATGGAATTACATTATGATCCAGGAGGGCCACTTCAGGTACATGGCACAAGAAGTCAGTGCAGGAAGTCACAGTTATTTGCACGCCCATGTTCATCACAGAATTATTCACAGTAGTCAGGAGCTGGAAGCGAGGCATACGACCATCAGCAGGCGAGTGGCTAAAGAACATGAGGTATGGACAAAGGACACCGTGCGTACGTATGAAAAAAAGAGGTCCCATTTAGGGAAAAACCAGTCCTGTCACATGGTACATAATGGCTGCCCCCTGGGGACATTATGTAAAGTGAATGAGTCCACTGTATGAGTCCACTCGTGGAGATGTGGCCGGAGGAGTCAGAATCATGAGACAAGTGAACAGGTGGCTGCCAGGGTGGGGGTGGAGGGGAGCATGTCATGGGTGTAGAGTTTCAGTTTAACATAGCAGCATGAATATACTTGACGCTATTGAACAGTACACTTAAAATTGATTAAGATGGTAAATTTAAT